AATACAAAATCCAGTCTTTTGTGCTTAGAAACTGTTAAAGTCCTTTTTTATTTCTTTTTTAATTTCCAGCATCAGTGAAGTTAATGTGACACGGTCTCAATCCACAAGAGAAAACAACCAAATTATAGTTATTTTAACGTGGAGACCAATCAAATAATTTTGTTGGGAAAACTTCTCCATAACTGAAGAGAAATCTAAATGGGATGGATCGATAGATTAAAAAAAAAAAAACTAGAGCAGTGCATCAAGATTTTTTATGATGAAATATGGAGAGAATTCAAGAGTTTCTATGCCAAATTTTAATATATATCCATTCTACATCTTTTATATTTGTAAATAATGATGACACTGTCGAAATTCAAATTTTGTAATACTAAATTTGAAAACAATTATTCATATTTTCATATTCCTTTTTAATATCTATGACTGCGGTAAATCTTAAACATTTTGTGATAAAAGTAAAAACACTTAATTCTTTGGCCCAACAACATTACGCCACTTAATTTAGAGGCTCTATGACTTTGTTTTTTTTTTGACCATAACTTTTACTTGGATTTTAAACGAATCCCATGCTTTTTATGTCATTATAGAATACTAATTTTATATAATTAGTATTTGCTATACCGCTATCGGCATCAAATACTAATTTAAGAAATTCCATTTTTTTTTCTTTTTGTTCTAAAACATCTTACCGTCAATACCTTAGTAATGAGGAGAAATCAGTGGTTTAAATTCAGACGACTAATTTTTATTAGCATAGCATATAATATTGTAGATGACTAGAATGAAAAGCCCAACAAACAACACAAGTAATATTGCACCTTCGACTTATCAGTTATACTAATAGCGACTGGATTTTGCAAACCAGCCAGTATCAGCCAGTACTGATATATAAAAATCCATCTCCTCACAACAACGTAGGACGACAGTGGATGATGTCGTGCAATAGACAGATGGCTATATGAAGTTGATCGAGACGATTTCTATTCCTTTGCACTTGTTCTTTTAGAAGGAGACATCCTTTCGATGTTGATGTCATCATTCTTTCATCATGTATTAATCTGTTAATCGGTGAGATCTGTGTCGAAACCGCATTAAACTTCTGTCAACTAGCCAAAAATCTGTTCGAATCAATTTAATGAATAATACATTTGAAGAACACTCAATTTAATGAAGAACACCTTTTAGTTTCATTCTATAACATACTCAACTGTCTGTAATCGATCATTTTTTAAAAAAAGAATTCAATTTTCTCGCTAATTTTCAACTTTTTCAAAATCTTCACTAATTTTACTGCCGAAGCACATTTATTTTCCAAAAGAAGCAATGTTTTCGTAATCGTGTTTGCTAAGTAATATATATATATATATATATATATATATATATCCATCTCCTCATGAATCTAAATGCACTTAGTGTCCGTTAAGCGTGTTTAGGTTCATGTTGAAAAATATATGAAGTGCCATGCAGTGCAACTTTGACAGTAGTCTGATGAATCTAAATGTACTTAGTGTTCGTTAAGTTCATTTAGATTTAAAAACATATGTAATTGTTGTAGTACTCTCAATATTACTCTCAATATTACAGACAGTCGTCTGTACAGAACCTCTCCAACCGGTTCATTCTTGTTCGTGCACATTCCGCAGCACTACCTCATCAAAAGTGTCAACCGGTCATTGTTGTTCGTACGATGATCAATCCGTATAATTAGCTTTACGATAGATATCGCTTTTAATCGTTCCCGGTGATAGCAGTAATTTCTAATTTCATCCTTTCAACTTGACTATGGTTGCTATTTAATATAAATCAGATCCGAGATTGTTATTCAATGCTGGTAAGCTATGTATCCTTAAACTTCTCCTGTGCACTTACTGCGTCTTATAAGGTATGACTACGGAGCAAAAATTCACAGGTGGACAGTTCACATTATTTCCTTCTCTCCCAACCGAAAAAAAAAGAATGCATTTTTTTTAAAAAGACGTGATTTTCTAATCGATTATATTTCCCGCTGTAAAACATCTACTCAATTCCTTACGATCAAAACTGTAATTCCGAATAACACATTTCGTTCTCTTTTATCCTCTTGCCACAAACGCATTAATTCCTGAGCTATAGTATAGTATTTGTTGTTTGCCTCAGCAACAAACATTTCCAGAGATTTTTTTTCATGTTGTTTCCGCTTTCAAATTAATTGTAAATTTGGATCTTTTCAGACTATCATTTTTCGTATTTTGTTGAAGGAAGGAAAGATTAATTTGATTGTTTCCCTTAATAATTTCAAAATTGACATGCAATTTTTTTCGGTATAAATGATTCCGTTAATAAATTAGCTACTGAATTAAGGTAAACAGTTAGATTAAAAAGCAAAAAGTGAAAAGCAAATAGCATTTGAATACTGGCAATGACCAAAAGGTCAGTGTAAATGAATTAAATTGGTTTGGTATATAATAGATAAGATGCATGAGATGCAAATTATGTATGTTTTAGTTCTGATATGTGATTATCCCCTTTCTGCAGTTGAGAATTTGTTGCCTAGGAGGATAACATTAAAACTGCTCAATCTCTGATATCGTGGCGACTGGTACTGATATTGCAGGAATCTTTTATATCAACAGACTTGAAAAGTTTGTTTGGAAAACATGATATAAAAATTTTGACTGCATAATTATTGCAGTGGCTAATGAATCTGGCCAGCTGTCGTACTGGAAATTATGAATACTTATAAGTTATAAAATATATTTGGCCTTATCTGTTATAAAATATATTTTTCCCTTGTGACTAACTAAGTGAATTAGCCAGCAAGAGCTACGAGTATGCATACTTTGCAATATTTTGTTGCTGTTTGCTGGAAATTGTTGTCATTTTTTTTACGAAGTCCTTTTGTATCATTAACACAAACGATTATTATCATAATCGTTCATTGATTGGCGTCCTAAGATAACTATCAAAGAATAATACAATTGGATGCAATCGTTCAGTAATTATTGAAAGTCTAGTAGAAATTTAATTAAGGTTGCAGTATTTGAAATCTCTTTAACGGGGTGTGCTGGCGCTAACTGAGTTTCTCGACTAATAAGTACTCCGTGTGTCGAGTCTATTTCTTTATATACAGGAATATGCTTACGAGAAACCCTCTAAAACTTATACGAAACCCTTTACAACAAAGCGGTATCCTTTCGACATTCCGGCACAGTTTTGGAAGCACACCTGGTCACCATATATTGAAACAAGTGAATACACAGGTTTTGGACGTGTGATCTACTTAATTGTTCCATTTGTAATACATAAAAACACTTGATTATTTCCACATAATTTAGTTATAACTTGTCTTCAAGAACTCTACCACTGACATTAGTGACAGACTAGGCTGAGTCGTATCACATCACTTTTTTCATTAACAATAGAAAATGTCTTTTTCAAAGTGTATATTTTTTCCATTTATTAATTGAAATTATGGTTCGTAACGATATTTGACATTAATGATAAACTTCTTGTCCAGTTATACTGGAGCTAAGCTAAATAACTCATTGATCTAGTAAGCTGTGTTTTCGATCCTTATGTTTTTAAGCAGTAATAGAATTATCAACTTTTAGCAATTTGCCCGCATCTAACAATACCGCGGATTACTTCTATTGTTTACAGTGCACTTTCATGTTCGCTGTTTTTTTCATTTTGTTAGAAACTCTCTAGAAAAAAAGAAACGTTGTGCAAAAATGACAAAAGTTTTTTACTTTCCCTTCTTTTAAAATATAGCTGCACGGAACGTTTCAGCCAATTTCGCCTTCTGTCACAACTTACCTTCAGGGGACTGTCTAAATGCAAAATTATCATTGCCTAGTTCTAACCGTTGATCTGAGTACTTTCTTAAACATTAATTGGAATTTCCACTAATTTGTCATTTTTGCGTACCAAAATTACGCTTAGCAAATCACATTCATTTAAATACAAATATTTCATGTTTGTTAACAATTTAATTAAATCTTAGTTGAATTTTTCATTGAAGTTATTGGATGAGACCAGTCAAATTAATTCGAAAAAAAAAAAAAAAAAAGAAAAGAAAGAAGTAAAAGATTTATCTGCAGCCCTGTTTTCTGAAGAAAAGTCCACAAATGATCGCTACACAACAAATTAATCAAATGGCAAAACGATAAACTGATAAGTGAACAGTGGTCTGGGCTTGAGATACCGGCAATGAGATGATAATTTCAATTTTGTAAGATTCACTGCCTCTAACTTAGAATCGGAGCAAATAGCCTACTTCATAACGATCGGTATTACATCACAGTGCTTCAGGATACACTATGAAATAACTTAGGTGCAGTATAACAATAATACGAAATACAAAATGGAACATGAATGAAAATATGTAAATTTAATACCCGAAGTATTTTTGCACTTATTTTTTCAGAAGTTTAAACTCACAAAGTTTTTTAGTGATAAACATACCATTCCATTCAATGTATGAACAATATGTGAGGTACCAAAAAAGCAGTGGCTGGTATTTGGAAATTCAGATTTACAGGTTCTGTGGACCGATCAGATATAAATACAAAGAAGGATGAAAATGAGCAAAGAAAAGTATTCGAGAATAGAGAAAAAAATGACGGTTAAAATTATGGAAATGTAAACCAGAAATGATTGAATCATTATTTTGCTTTTTTTGGAAAAAAATTTTTCATCGAAGAGTAAGAGACAGTCATAACAAAAGTGAAATTCATCTCAAAAACAGTTCACATTTTAAGTCACCTTAGACATAACCGTTTCGCAAATTACTGATACGGCCAATGATTACTGAGGATGGAAATATAAAGAAAAAAGAATTAAAATTTTCTATCCTGAACACTATTTCGTAAGATTCCAGGAGCCGGGATTTAATGAAAATACTATTCGATCTAGAAAATAGGGGCCAAATACATTGATTCTCAGTAGACCAGAGTCAATTTTTTCTTTTTTCACGAAGATTGCAGCTGAAACCAGAGTTAAATATCATCTTTAATATGCTATAATAGTACGATCAGGACAGTAAATAATAACACCAAGATTAATGTCGGTATACTGATAGAAGTTCCTTTATGTTCTAGTTCAGCTTCCGGTAATGAACCTGGCCTGCCATTTCTATGTTCCGATCCCGGTTTTGCTCCCAACTGCTTATTATGCTCCTCAGGCTCTGGAATAGGTACTACACTGCTGTCGTCTGCTGAATGTAAACCGATGACTAAGCCACCATGTCCATCTCCAAAACCTGTAAACTGAGGAAGCAAATAAGGGGGACTTTTAGTGACCAATAACATAAGGAATTTATTTTTAATGATTTTTGCATCTCTCCAATTTGAAAACTTGGAAAGGAAGAGTGCAGAGTTTGAAATTTAGTTAATGAAACTTATTAACAATCAGTTAATATGCTAAATGAGACAACGACAACTCAGAAGAGTCCGAAAGATGCAAATAAATTTGAATCAGTTAAAAAGTTTTCAAATAAGAGTATTGATGTCTTCTCACGAAAGTTGCAAACGAGCTTACCTGCATCAGCAGGATTTCCGGGAACACAGTTATAAGTATTGCCAATCCTCAGAGTATATAGTCCTTCTTTGCATTCACAAATATTATTTCGACAGACCGAATCCAACAAGCATTCCCTACTGTTTGAACAGTCACCACCTAAAATAGTCAATGCTTCCCAATTTAAGATTCTCAGGTTACACACAAGCATAAAAAAATACAAACCCGGAAATGCAAATTGAGTTTCACTCAATATTTCTGAGAATGTATCCATACTGGCGGTATTTTCTCGAAGTTTTGGTACTTCCGATCTAAATTTACATAAGCTTTTATGATATTCATTATTGAATCCTCGCATTGGAATAAAACTCTCATCCTTCGAAAAAGATCACTAGAAAAAGTTAAAAGCATAAATGAAATGATATACTCCGTAAATGGCTTTCCAAATCCATCCCATCCAATATACACGTGTTCCTTAGCGTTTGCTTCTTCAAGCCAACTTATCAGAGGTTGGTAATATTCCAACATAGCACTTGCATCAACTTCTTTACTACCTATTATTTTCTTCAATTACAAACGGATATATTCAACATTCAATGCAACTTCTTAATAAATGAGGATTTTCAGAGGCAATAATTCAAGAAAAAGAACACATTAGAGGATAAAAATATCATTTTAAAGTAGATTTTAGAAGACTAAAGATTTGTCATATACTGTTCTAATTTGTTTTACTTCCTAATTAATGCATCAGAGTGAACAGTTTAGCAATTAGCACAGTGGGATTTTATTGAAATGATGCAAAGTTGATTGTTGTGATAAACTCCAAATTAACTTATTGTGCAGTACTAGTGATTTCTAGATGATCTTAATTCGTAATCCCATAAAAGTGGAAAAATGGTAAATTGATGATTTCTTGAAACGAAGTATTGTTTTTTTAGAAATCCTATTTATTCTGGTACCACTTCAAACGACTTCTCCACCTTTAAAAGTCAATTAATACAAATAAGAAACCTATGATAATTTCCAGTGCTTCTCGCCAGGTAATTGAAGAACCAAGCGCCATAACTTTCTTAATTTTATCAATAGCTGGGCTACGTTCTAACATACATCCGTTACTCTGAAATACTTTCATCTCATTTCCATCAAAAACATCACTGAATTATAATTAATCTGAATTACAACCTATTCTCATAACTGAATTTAATTAATCTTGCTTCAGTGCAGTCACTTTAATTCAGCTAGATCCAATTAATCCATATCATAAATTAGTTCACTCAGCTACCAAATTTGTTGCGTTAGGACACAGAGCTTTTAGGATTTGAAACTGCATTATGTAGGCGAAAAAGTGTTTCATCGCAGGAGCATGCGTTTGAGCAATGGTAGAAAAAGCGATAGCATCGAAATCAGTTGATTTTCGATCCACAGGCGATTTGATCCCTTGGAATAATTCACTGAAAAAAAAAACAAAAAAAAACTGACTTTATTAATTCTGAAAAATTTGTCCCCAGCAAAGGGCTAAAAAAATTTTCAACGCATACTTTCGTCTCTTTAAGCTCTGAATGTGATGATCAAATCAAAAAATTATTAGAGCCTATTTTGATGAGTTGCATATTTCTTAATTTTAATGGCGAAATAATTTACCTTAGCCGCCACCAATCGGAGTTCCATGTAACATTTGTCGACGTACCATCAAATATATGAAATCGCCACATATCAACCGCGAAGTCAAAGGGTAATTTGACGAAATCTTCAAGTGCTTCCATATACAAACGATTTATAATTTTTGAGCGGCTAAAGCCAGTCTCAGATGTTATTAGTTTCTGCAAAATTCCGTTTTGAAAATAAATAAGTAAAAACCCTTGTGTCTCTTTTTAAATTGGTCGTAACCAATATCCTTACAGAAAGAAAAGTAAGTAATTAACTAAATGATACTTAAGCAGTCATTTCAAATTCCTCAACAGCAATTACCATCATTTTCAAATACTCTATATTTCGAGCATTAATTGCGAAAGCATTAGTCACAGCGGTCAGAAAACTTGGATTTGTTGCTTCTCGAAACAAAAGTGGCTGCTCACGACACATGTAATAATAGTATATGTGTACAAGTAATTTATGGGTTAATTCAAAATCGGGCAAATTAAGATGCGCACATGCTTTCACCCTGAAAATTAAAAAACTTTGCACCTGTGCAAAAGTTTGAATCAACTAATAGAAGCTTAACAACTAGGAAAAATCTGTGGAAAGAATTCTTACAATACTCTTTCCGCTGAATGAAATTCCGCTTAATAATCAACGAAAGAAGCAATTAAAAAACAAACCTATAATCAAGTTCATTCCTCATATCGTAGGCAGCAGGTGGATAACAAAGCATATCTCTACTCCAGGTTCTCGTAAAAATTGATTTCGTCCAAAAACTTGATGGCAATTTGTCAAACCCAATTTGTTTGAGGGTTTTATATGTCTGTAAATTTCAGATTGAACTAGCTTAACCACCAGATGATCAAGCAATGTTGGAAATCATTTTCATTCCTTTCTCTAATTGAACTTTCGACTGCAAGTCTTATTTCAAATATTTCAACACCTGTTTAAACATGTTTTTCACAGTATAATTTCGTTTTTGAAAGTTATCTTGGACTTCCCTTGCAAGATCATCCTCGTCTTGGAATGGCTTTGTATCTCGATAGAAGGCAATCCAATTGTCACCAGCAATACTCTCTGCATTAATGTTCAAATTGCATAACTTTTTTTTTGCAAAGTTTTTTTTTATTAAATCAATAAAATTTTCCAAAAAATATTAAAGATGCATAACAATTTCTAAGGCCAATTAAGACTTAGAAAGAACTGTAAATTAAGCATACTAAGCAAATGGGCTGGGATAGGACCATCTCGCGTTAGACTAGACACGTTTGTTAAGCCGTACAAAGCAGGTATTTGACGTCTTATATATGCGTGTAACTGAAATTTCAAAACACGTTATACAGTTCCTTTTAAGTTGCCATGCACTGTTGTAGCTGATGAAATAGGTGCCACCTATACACAGTTTATTCAGTTTCCTCGAAGATGAAACTAGTTGTCAACCTGTTTATAAAATGGATTGATTTGTTGATATAACTTTTGCAAAAGAACAACGGTGTCACTTTGTTCTGCTTTTTCTTGACGTGATACGAGCAGTTCGTAAGGGCTACGCCACATCGCTCCGCCATCCGAAAAACCATTTAATTTAGCTCCTGTAAAGGAGTTAACATTAATTATAGTAAAAAGAATCATTCAAGTTCCTTAAAAATTCAAAATTTAGAAGACTGAAAATTCCAAATATTTATTATTTTCTAAAACTCAATACCTTTATTGATCAACTCAATGAGACGTTTGTAAGAAGTAACCAGTTTCGGTCCTAATGCGTCACGCAACGCGATCCAAAGACGAAATGCTTTAGGGCCATCATTCTCATGGGCGATAATTGACACAATATCGGGCACTCTATAAAGACACATTTTTCCCTCGACAAATATGAAAAACTTTATGATGGGCAAATTAAAGGCATAAAATACTCTTCACTTTCTTTCTCGGGAGTAAAACTTCGTAGTTAATAAAGCAGAAGCATAATGTTAAGCACTGTGTTAATTCTGATAATCTTATGATCCTTTAATTTCTTTCTTGCGTTTAAGTTGAAAAATAAAGTTGTTTAAAATAAAAGATAGAAAGAATTTCTCCGGAACGTCAAAATTTCTTATTACTATAATTGTGCGTAAACTTGAAGTTTAAGATTCTAAAATTCTTTCAAAATTTACTATTAAAAAAAAAAAAAAGTATTAAACTAATAAAACCTGTATGGACATATCGTTGCGTTGTCTGTTTCACAAACTGAAGTTTCAGCATATGCTTTTGCTATCTAAAATAAATACCTAAGAAGATTAATCTATTAACAAGAACAGAAATCGCTGATTTAAATAATCTGACCAATTTTTGAAGTTCATTGTATTCATTGAAGTCATTTTCATCCAAAGCATTAATGCCTTCTACTAAAAGCAACTCAAATTGTCGTTTCAATGATTTATCCTCAATTGCTGCAATATCAAACTGCTTCGCTTGTTTCGAGCTGCTTTTCACAAATTTTCCTAGCGTCTAAAATTCAAAACACTGAAATTAGTCAGCTGAATAGCAACACCGACTCACTGCTCACAATTTTTTGATAGAGTTTCTGAACGCTGTTTTTATTTTGACTGTATTGTTCAGTTTTCAATTGATAAAATTTGGAACAATTTAAACCATAACCTCTTCGGCTTCATCAAGAAGTTGTTTAGTAAGATGTGATACTGATGTAACATAATTCCATCCTGCTAAAGCTACTTCGCGTAAAACTTTTTGTGCCTCAACAGCATATCCATTCATCCATTCCTGAGCTTTCTTACTATCTCGTATAGAGCCTTCAGGCTAAAAACTGTTAAATGATATGTATATTAATGACATCATGCAGCTCTGACTTGCATCAAATACCAAATTCTCGAAAATTCTACATTCAATATCGAGACAAAAAAGTTCAACAGTTGAGCTCCTTCAATAACTAGCTTCGAGAAGAAAATTCAAGAAGAATGATAGAAACCTCTAAATTGCTCACATCCCAGTATTTGCTTGAATTGATCAGTTTTAAAGCTTCTTTATTCAGCTTTTCATCTTTACCATCTTCGGCAGCATCACTATTTAGGAAGCGATTAACAAGTTCCTCTATAGCTTCATTATCAATGGCACTTGGTTTCGACTATAAATTTAAGCTTATATTTTATCCAAATTATTTCGAAAAATGAGAACTAACTCTAATCAATATTGTTCCTTGTAAGAAAAAAATGGTACTTCTATAAATTTTTTGTGTATTTCTTCTAAGATAATGAAGCAAAACTCACAGAGTCTGCGTTATTACTATCATCTTCGTCAAACCGCTCAGCATCATCCTCGAAGGCATTGCTTAATTTCATGTCACTCGGTTCTGTAACTGGTTGGGAATCCTCAGCATGAACTGTAAGTTGTGAACTTTGGGCTGATTGCATGGCCAAGTGTGAAGAATTGTCAGTAAACGGCCTAGTAATTTTTGCAGTGGTAGTCAGCATAGATTGATGGTGCAATTCTGGCTTATAGGTACTCGGATGAAAACTTGACGATAACATGACTTTTGGTTCAGGTGTTGAATTTGATTGATGGGGAAATTCTGTAGAATGACTCTGCGACGGTACCATATCCAATGAATCTGGTTGCTTAGCAATGGAATAAGTTCGGAAAACGTTTTTTGTTTCTGCTTCTGCTATTATTAGTGCATCGTTCACTGTACTTTGTATCAATGTAGGAGGCCAGATTACAGAATTTTTGGATGATGTGAAAGCGTTTTCTAATGTCGACATACCAGTTTCTTTTCTGGACTCATTTTGTCCAGATGAGTTTTCCCCATGTTGAGCGTAGAGGCCAAACAGAAGCACTGATATTATCAGCTGCTGTATCAACAACGTCCTTCTTGTCATACTGCAATTAACACTATTATTAACGATTCATCATGTTATTCTCAAACTTTCATGACACGGACTGACAAAAATCAGTGAAACGAAGAGAAGGCCATCAGTGAGAAAGAAGTTCTGAATGTATGGTGATATTATGTAAAATTAATGCAACCAACTATTGGACATTTCATCATCATATAGCTTATTTTCTATTACAATCTGTCGATCGGGTTTTATAAATGGACGAGTGTTGGATTAAAATTGCGGAAGAACTGTTTCGATAAATCCTATTTTCTCTTTCTTTAATCACTTAAAAAAAAAGACACCGAAAAGACGTATAGCCCATGAAGGATAATTTTAAAGAATATTTTTGAACAAATAAAATCCATTGGATACGAAAAAGCATAGATATTCAAATTTTGTTTTCAAAGTGATGGCGGATAGTTAAAATCAGTAAGGTTTATTAATCAACAATCAAAAAACTGTAAAGTACAAAGAAATGGAACAGAGCAGTTAAAAAGCTATCATTTGTCTAGATACTTAAATAACAAAAATTTACAACTTTAAAAAGTTAAGAAGAATGTTCAACGATTACGAAACCTCAACATAAGCTTCAGTTCTTAGGAGCATTCTTAGGCAAAATAATAATTTGGCCTAATTAATGGCAACTAAAAGAAGAACCTAAGCTTTAACTAAGAACTACCACTCATCAAAACTTCATAAGTTTGAAATATTAAAGGCAATGAAAGAAATAGAAAGTATACATTTAAATGAGCGGATCATTAAGTGAACCTAATAAATTAAACTTTCGTCTACAACGAATCCTCGAAAAGTGCGAATGGGTGAAAAAGATTTGATGATTTCCACCTATTTATCAAAGATATTTCTTCTTGCTTTTAAATCCATTTTTACAAAATAGCCATTGTGCTAGACAGAAGACAAAAATGATTGTACTAATCGTTACAAGAAAAGATGCTATCAAACAATAGGAATGACGCAGAAAAGGAAAAAGCCAAAAAAATGCGGAAAAAAGCTAGGAGTAAATGGGAAGTCAGTGACAAATGACAACAGGAGTGGAACAAAGGTGCAAATGATTGAGGCTTTTTGGCACTCCTCATGTTCCCTCAGTTCAGTCGAAAAAATTTCAGATGATGTCACCTCTCCCACATTTACGATTTCCAGTCTGCCTACCATAAAAAAGAATAGCCTAGTATAATCATTTCGTCACAATGATAACAGGTTTGGCAAGAATTTCGAAACTACAGTGTTAGTGGTGTCAAGCGATATAGCGGGCATAGTTTGAATACGTATTTCAGATATAGTATGAACAAATTAAGATACATTGAGAATACGTTTCAAGTGGAAATCTGAATATATGAAAGGAAAGGGAAAGATGATTGACATTGCTGAAAATGCGGCAAATAACGAGTTTATTCAAAGTTGACATTTTTTGCTACTAAAGATAATAAAAAGAACCACTACAGTAGATGTAAGGACAACGACAATAGTAACGACAGCAACAACCGCAGGGAGAAGAACAACGGAAACAAGGAGAACATTAGGAAATATGGCAAATTGTTTTGGAAGAGATCGCGTAGAAAAATTCTTGGAAATTTACATGTGAAGAAAAAGGAAAATGAACGAGAACTGTGTGGATAGGCGATGTGACAATGGATGTATGTATGTGTGCGGCAAAAGTAATATCAATAAATCATGCCATTAGGTGATGTGATGCGGTATGAGTCTTCTATAACCCACCTTCTTCCATCCCGCTCCATCTACACTTCTCCGGGTGATCGGCTTGATTCGGAAGGCAGCCTACGATCAGCTGTATGATGACAATCTCTTTTCGTTCTCATTCGATCGTTTTAGTTCTGGTTTCGGTCCCGATCTTCTGCCTGGAAAGGTTCTACAGCCGTATTGCCAATGACGACCCAGATTTCAATGCATAAAATCACAGCACACTCCACTGTCCAGTAATTCGGCGCAGCCTTTCGGATTTCAACCGACTTCTTACACATATATTTGAAAGCAAAAATAAGAAAAATAACTCAGCTTTTCATGTAACTTTGACACTTACATCTTTCATCCCTACAATTTTCTCTACCAATTGTGAGTGATCGGAAGTCGTTTCATCATGCATAACAGGAAGTGAGTAACTAAAAACCCATATGGATCGATGGAGTTACTTAAGCAGAAACCCGCATCCATTTCAAGCACTGTTTAGGTATATTGTTATCTTTGAATTTGTTCAATCAACCTAGCAGTATTTTTCAAGATCTGTTTGCTTTGCATCGATACCTTGAAAATAATCAATGAGAAAGAAGAGAGAAACGTTTCCAAAGATGGCGATTGGACAATTTGGTCAGACGGATCGTTCAGTTATCTTTCAATAAATCTTAGCCTTTTCCAGTTTTCTTTCATATGTAGGGGACACTATTCAGAAAGTGAGAAGGTTCTGTAGACTACACGCAAGGTACAAACTTATGAAAAATAAAATGCCATTGTTTTACAGTTTCTGACTTTAAAATTCTAAGCACTTTAAAAAAACTAATAGATACTAAACGAAGTAAACTGAGTAAAAAATTTCCACTGATGTTACTAAAACGCAACCAACGTGTAACAACCATTGAAAGATTGCAAGAATGACATGGCAACAACGAATGGCAAAATCTTCGGGTGCATTTAGGATGTCTAAGTGGTCATTTGTCGTCCATCGGATGATCAACTATTCAAGCACTCTCTCCACTTCCTCCGCCTCGAGCAGTGGTGCATTCCGCTCAGCTTTCCTCGCAAATCAATAATGCACATTGTTTCACAATTCAGTTCGAAATCATCGAACCATTCCGATGTGGTAGTGTAGACGGAATCAGTCTGTAAAGTTTGAAAACAAAATTGCTGCTGAAGGATTTGAGATCATTGTATTAGTGTTCTTCTCTAATCTGAGATGTTTTGGTTGATAATAAAAAATCAAAAATCAAAAAATATTTTTCAGTGATTACAGTTCGTTACCGATATTTATTGGTATACGAACGACTGTATTTCTAAATATAAAAGCACTTTAGGAGGTGTCGATGAGTTACAAAGTATTTGTGTGCATGCTCGTTATTCTTGGAATTTTGTTAAAATCATTTTAAAATTTGGTTATTTTTTGCTAATAAATTTTCCAAATCAATAATTTCATCTTCTGAAGCTTCCAAAAATGCAGTTCTGTTGACAAATACAGAGATTTATTCAGGAACAAACATTACGAGTTTTTGTGGCTTCCTAATATTTAGACTGATCATTGAAAATTTTCTAATGTTTAGAAGAAATATGGTAAACTCAAAGAATTTAATCAAAATTTCGAAAATTTGAAGATGTCAGCTTTCTTTCCACTCCCATATATAACTATATTAAAAGCAGACACCAATTTTTAAGAAATCTAGACAGAATGACAAATGAAAACAGTTTGTGGATAACAGCAATTTTATAATTATTAACGAAACGGATGCATTTTTTCTTCGCATTTCTAAGTCCTCACAGCTGTTGATGAATTCCATTGCACTTTACATTTCAATCTTATTGCCTTTGATCATCTTGCCTTAAAAACAGTGTTTAGCGTAAAAACAGGAATAAATTCAAAATCACTTTTCGATGGATGTGACTTGTCTTCTTTTAAAAGAGATTTTCCTTTTAATTTGAGAGATTAAATCTCTTGTTTGATTTAAAATAAACAGTTTCCATAGTTTTCTAAGCCTCAAGGTTTATAAGTATTGCCTACTTACAAAATTTGAAACTCTAAAGCTGCTCCAAAAACGTTCACACAGATATCATTATCATGCTATGTGACTTCACTAAAAAGGTATATTTCGGTCAGATAACTCAATTTTATTATTTACTAATCCGACTGTGATGGCAAATTTTTAGGGAAACTCCTTTACCCGCAATTACCATTTAAGCAAACATCCCGACTTGAGCATAACACATCATCAAACAATATCTTTTTGAAAGCAATTCGGAAATCTCTATTTAAAATCGTATAAATGATTGGATTCGCCGTAGAGTTTGCATAACCTAACCACGTAACAGCCTGAAATACTAACAATATTTGTCACAGCTAGTATGAATATTAATAAATAAATATTATGTATGAACATTTCTCCCTTCCGACTAAACTATCAAAAAAACTGTGTTGATAAAATTTTGAATTACAACAAAACTCAAATACATCAACAGAAATTTCTTAATGGTGAAATGAAAAAAATTACTTAAAAAGATCCACTATTTAAAATATAGAAGTTATAAAAATGAGTTTTAATTATTTACCTTGAACTGCATATCGGATATTAAAGCTGGAAGAAATGAACGAATGACATTTACAATGAAGAAAGGCAGCCAACATATCAAGAATGTACCCATTATTACTCCCAGTGTAAGTCTTGAAATTAAAATTTTCTTTTATTTTCAATTTACCAGTTCTATGCAAAAATTTTAAAAAATCTCAAAATTTAAAAAAGTCGGAGTTTAGAAATTTTGAAATTTTCAAATTGATTTTGGAAATTTAGAAGCACTAAGAGATCGAAAGGTTTGAAAAAATTTTATTTAAAACTGGACTAAGGACTAAAATTAGAAATAATTGACGATAAAAAAATAACTAAAAATGATGCAGTGGTTAGTAGAAGAGAAAAAAGGAATCCATTTTAATATATGCTTTAACATTGGATAATATCATCTGAATTTAGGTCGAAACAAATAGCAGTAGACTTAAATAGAATTGCTTGCTATGTGAAATGATAGTGGTAACGAAGTCAGGCTATAGCAGAAATAAATGGATGCCAAAGGTAAACAAGTCCTGAGATAAGATTGAACAAATCCGACATCAGGTCTCCATATTAAAAACAAATTCAACCTGGCTTTCCGATCAGTGACACAAAATTGTGATGACGTATTTTTCGATTTGACTCGTTCTGATACTATAAGATTATTTCTGTGACAGCGACGGCAAGTTGCAAATATCCTCTCACAGAAGAATCCAACATTACTATTCTGAAAATTTTTCCTTTGCCCTGTTCTTGAAAATATTTGCTACCAATCAAATGCATTAGTCCAGCAAATTTAAGATATTCTTAGTTAATTTATCAATTAAATATTTACAAATGTTGAATAATAGACCCGACGTCAAGTCTCCATATCAAAAAACGAATTCAACTTGGCTTTCTGATCAGTGATACAGAGATGAATAACAGAACTTCTCATAAGGAATTAGTAGTGCAATATGCATTTAATTAAATATTCGGAGTAAGCTTTAAAATTTAAGTGCTAAAAGTTGTAGAAACTATCTTAAAGAGACAGGCACTTTATGTAATTATCCTAGATATGAATTATTCGTAACTTAAATATGTTTTTTCTTAGAAACTATATGGAATGTTTTTTCTCAGAAACTACAGCACTAGCAGTCAAAAGCAAACTTAAATTTGCAGAAAAGAATAGACTCTCAAAAAAGAATAGCATTTACTTCCGATTGTTATTTGCAACACTTTTTGTTAAGCTTTCTGGTAAGGACAAACATTTCCATGAATATCTTTCCGCCTTTTCAGTTGCAACACTTCCTTTCAGTCAATTATTCATGTGGTTCATTTAGTTGCAAATCAGACAACAAAAACTAAAATGCTAGAGGCTAACTGATTTAATAAAGATAAAAAAAAAAATATTTTTGATTCGATATTAGCTGAGATAAAAATTTGGCAAGAAAAAAGAAGGAGAAAAGTTAAGGAACTAATACATACCCATAATGCTAGTATGGGAACCAAACATGATTGAAAGCAGAATTTTGCTAGAAATTTTAAAAACAATACATTTTGAATTCCTTCACAAGCATCCAGTGTTACAGAGAAGTTAGCTGCCTGCTGAAGTTGGATACGCATTGTTTTAGCATGTTCCCTGGCGAACAAGTACAGACGGGTATATAGAAGTATCATCATCGCCGCGGGAATAACGAAACTGCACATTGAACTGCCTAATGCATACAGTGGCTTAAGTCGTAACTCACATCGCGGTTGGGAACTGCAATTTGCGATCACCATCACAGTTGAATTGAAAATTGTCCCTCTGATAGCAATCTATTTTCACCTTCAACAGACTGAACAAGGATCACACTTAGAATTTAAACTAAGCAGGACAACTTACTCGTTGTATTTAACATTTCCTCCATTTCTTTGCGCTGATTCCAGAATAATTTGCGTGAAACCGATGATAGCTGATATTAGCCAAACAAAAATTATAACGATGAATACTTTTCGCCTCCTGAAGCCTTCACAGATAGGGAAAGTAAACCATAATGAATCACATTTACCAACTTAATTAGAAGTCGAAACTTCGCGAACGGTTACAAAGAGAGTGACATCATTCCGCATAACTGCATAAATTCCTCCAAATCTCTGCCTCATCTCTTTTAAATGCCTTCTTCCCCCCTGACCACTTTAAAAAATTTCTTTTATGTTTTGCGCTTATTCTGTTATCCTTTTCTTTTATCTTCCTTAATGTTTGTGCCATGTAAAGCAGAAAAATTTTTAGAATTATTTTAAAAATTTTCGTGACATTCTTTATGTCATGCATTTATCTCTTCTGCAGCAATTATTGCTCTGGTAATGATCAATATTCCTACTCCAAAAATAGTAATAAATGAACCCAAATACATCTTTGTCTAATAATAATAAATCAATCAGCTAAGCGACTATTTCAAAGGGTTATATAAAACCAACAAAACAATAAAACAACGAAGATTTTACATGTTGCTTGGGAATACAATATTTCATCTCCAAATCCGTTTTTAAGCATATTTAAATAAACTGATACCATTAGATTCAAAAAAAAAAGTTTATATTTCTGCTTTTTGCATGAAAAATACCAAAGTTTTCGACAATTGTTTTAACCCCTGAATCCGCGAAATTTGCTTTTTCTACACATAACAAAAAAGTGTAATGGTATAAAATAATCGAATATCAGTAGATCAATTGTCAGTTATCTTAAACATAGATTGCTCAAAAGTGACACCTGACATAAACGAGTGGACGACTGATATGCAGAAATCTGTGCAAGGCAATTGCAGAAAGGTTGAGTATCGAAGCTGTAGTACACGTAATATCGAAACATATCCAAAGTTGGCAGTACAAGTGGCCAAATGGCCAGTATCCAAGAATATCATTGGATGCTGCGAATGACATCACCTGGTAGGAACATCGCTATTAATCCATTCTGATATGTCGTCAAATTACGAAGAAAAAAAGACAAAAAGACTGCCTTAAACCAAATTTAATCCCAAATACCAGTAAAAGAGTTAAAAAAAACTTACAAGCAAAGATATGAGAAGATCAGATACAGCAAGTGATACCAAAAATAAATTCTCTTGCTGTCGTCGTAAAATTCGATCGCAATATACAGCAACACATACCAGCAAATTACCGCCTAGGGCAATCAATATAATAACAGCATAAACAATTAATAAAATACTAGCGGCTGAGAGCATCGAATATTTATTGAACAGTTAGTCAGGCAAAAATCCGCAATACTCTTTACTCCACTCGAAAAACCAAAAAATTATGATTTTTTTTTAATTCGATTGCAGTCACTCTTCATTGTAATTTCCTGTTCAAGAAGATAGTTATTTGAAATCTTTTTCATTGAAGTACTGAATGTCGTGGAAATTTAAAGTATCCTTAAGTCTTTATAGTTACAATGTTTAAATGTAAACTTACACGTTTGGTGTTGGCAGTATTTATAACAACAGTATTATTATAGTTGTGGACTAGTTTATCTGCATATACATTATTTCTCTTTTAATCAGGATATGACCAATGGATAAATAGTTTGATATCAAGTAAATACTGTGATTCTTTCTTTCCTTTCTTCCCACTCTTTCTCTCTCTCGTATTGTTCGATCCTTTCTCGACTACTGCACTATGTTTTTGAAAAAACCAAATTCTCCACCTGCTTTGATAAGGATGTACATGAGGTACGGAAAATTGTGCCCATGTATTTAATAGCAAAAAGATTCATGTTCGAAAAAGACACTTAGTTTTCTTCAAAACGGAATTTTGATAACGACTTGATTTAAAAAGCAGTATGGTATAGATTAGGTATAGACTCAACGATGTTATTACAGCCTCATATTCGGCTGTACATTTTTTCTTCAAGCAATGAATAGGTAATTTAACACCAAGACAAATAGATATTTTTGGCTTTAGTAATAAAATTCCAGAAGTTAGATGATTAAGAATAAGAGTTAGATATGCACAAAAGAAAAGAAAGGTACGGCAAATAACTGAATCTTTTGTTTGCAAAATAAGTCATTAAAGCAAGCATAAGTTTATTAAAAGAATTAAATTTAATGATTTAATGTTTTGTCAAGTGCGAATAGGGACAGCCATAAACTTTAGGAATCGTGAATTCTCTGATAAGGTTACAGCCAAAAACAAAGATTCAAAGGTATTTGCAACCATAACAAAGTTAATAGCAAGCTATGCATAGATTTATTTTCTGAATTTTCTGACTAAGTTACCGTCCAAGTTGATTAACTAATGCAATATTATTGCCTTAAACTTTTCGCCATAAAGTTAAAACTTTTAATCGTCGTATATAACAAAAATGATTAACTAATTCATCTTGTTATATTTCATATATTCGACGTACTAAAAATGGAAAAAATGAAAGAAGCAAGAGTTAGACAAATTATTACATGTTAGGACATTATTTAAAATTATTACAGAGTCACATTCTCAAATGCTTGATTGAAGATCTCTTTGAACCTTTGACAAAAATGCATGTTCTACATTCGTCTCAATTTCTACAGTTTGTTCATTTCTAACAAATTCAAAGGTTTAAGCATTTGAGAATTTAATAAAAAACATTAACCTTTTCCATTTCTTCATCGAAATGGCAAGCACCAATTTGACATTATTTATTACTGATCAGCTGGTTAGATCATTTCAATTAAATTGAAGAAAGCATAGGTAACAAATAAATGAATGACCTCTATAGGTCTCACATATTGAGTAAAGATATATTTTTGTTATAATTGGATGATCAATTGGTCGATTGAAAAACGTAACATACTGAGTTGCAAATTTATTCGCAACACTAGCTGTTTTGGTTTTAATTGTTTGGGCCTCTGTGGAGCCCAAAATTCATAAAAATCTTAGACATCGTTTTGAAGTCATATCGATTTTCTTCACAGTCTTGAAAAAAAAAAAAAAATTTCAAAATAAATCCTATCAAAACATTTTGGGAATGAACGTTGCAAAATTATTTCTATTGTAAAAAATTGATGATAGACATTGAACAAACTCATTTAATGTCTTTTAAATGACTTGTTAAAATTTAAATAATTGTCAATATATGTTGCGTCTATATTATTTAAGCAGTTTGTGTTTGAAAGACAATATGTTAATGAATCGACAATTCCTGGAAGTTTTCAGGAATTGTCGGGAACTCAAACCAGTTTTGTTGCCGGTCACTTCATAAACTTTTGTAAGTTGGCAATGAAAACAACTTTGCGACTTATAAATATCCACATGAAAGAGTAAATTATCATTCTTGCTAGTTGATATTCTTACTACATATTACAGTTAGCATTTCTATAGTATTACCCAAATGTAGTCATTATTCTAAAACAAAAAGCAGTCTTAAGCTGCTATATTGTTTTATCGGATTCTGCCTTGAAATCTCATTGTTTAGACTCTTTTAAGAAATAGTACTAATATTAGCTAAACAGTCTAAGACATCAGAAGACAGAGGAGGTGAAAAGATTTATTAAGTCTTATTACGTATTTCCTGAAAGCTTATCATAATAGCTACTTCTGCTTAAAATGATTTAGAGAAATCTTAATGCGTGAATAATTTGTAAATATGCAAATTCACATAAAAATTAGGAAAAATTTTCAGTGACAGTTATAAAATTTAGTCACATTTTTTGTAAATCAGTGAATTAATAAATGATACCTAATTTCTTTTTTTTTTTTTATTAAGGGAATGCCATTGATGAAAAGAACATAATATTGTTGATGTGCGATGAGAGGTGAATTGGTTGTTAAATGCTTGTTTAAAAAAAAAAAAAAAAAAAGTGGAAAAGTAATGAAGCAAATGAGTGGCGCAATAATTGTTGAAATCCCACACAATAGTAAATATTTGCCGCTGAAATCAGTCCAAAAAAGTTAATAAATGAGCAGTGGCTGTAAGCCAACGCATTTGGCGAAGCGTAATTAGAAGAAATACGAAAGCTAGGGAAACAAAGCTCTGAATAAAGCATTAAATTAAATGAAGTTGTAGTGATGAATAAAATAAGAAGAGACCATAGATACGAAAGTCTTTTACTCTACCATTAAGGGCTCTCATTCATCTGTGTTGCGAAAAGGTTTTTTAGGGAATTTCTCAAAATGATGCAGTAGTTTGCATGTGCAGTGTATTGCAGGAAGTGAAACTAATGAAAATGAGTATGGCAAGGAACGCACATCTATTCAGCCACTTCAAAATGCTTTGAAATGGGGAAAAGAAAGGGTGATGAGTTTATAGGACAGTTAAAAATACATTTTATTTCGATGCTATAAAATTGCACCTCAAGTTAAATCACAAAGTCCCTATAAAAATAATCAGTAGGATTGATTAAAATATCATAGGTAACAAATATAGTGTTTTGATTGATTCTATGTAAGTTCCTAAATCACATTAGCAGGAGAAATCAAAATAAAGCGGCAAAATATAAAGTTTTTTGCACTCTTCATGTTAAAAAAAAAAAAAAAAAACGAACGTAAACTGAATCACCAATTTATTTCTTTGAAGATTTAGGAAATCGAGAAAAGTAAAATGGCATTTTTCCCCAAATAAGAGACGACGTATCGTATCAACTCTATAAGGAGACTTTATTGGCATCAATGCCGAAATGGTTCTAGAAAATTTAAAACTTTAAAACACCACCCGTTTAACTCCAATTGTTTTTATAATGCAAATTTTTAACTACTCTAATAAAAAACAAATATAATCCACTTATACGTTCAGAAAAAAAAAAAAAAAAAGAGACAGCAAGGAGTTATTAGCCAGCGGAGTGAAGTGGTTCGAGAAGATGAATGAGTTAAATAAGTAAAGTAAATTTAAAAAAAAAAAAAAAAAAATTGGAGAAGGGAAAAGTGAAGTAATAAAATTTAAAAAAATCTGTGAATAAAATTAACCTCACTTATAAAGAGATGCGAATAATATCATACTGAAAATGGGATAACAACAGTTTGATCATTTGTTTTAATGTGTTTTTAGAATAATTTAATGCATTAAAATATACATTTAACGTAAAAAAAAAAACTCTCTATTCTCTCTCTCTACACTCTCTTCCCTCCTCCCATTTTTCCCCTCTTTCAGGTCATTTCAGTATTAAAGCAACAAAAAACAATTGCTAGTTTAGTAAATAAATAAGTTTTAAAAGATAATGTTGAAAAAGAGCAAAGTTCATTGCAAAAGTCAAATTGTTTATATCTTTTGACGACTGGCATTTGCAAGTAAGGTACAGGCACTATAAAGTATGTGTCATGCGAAAACTTTCAAATCAGGCTTCCAAATCTTCCATTCTATCAATTTCTACCTCATTTTATCAAAAGTATTTGGTATAAAAGATGCAACTGATTCACAATTATAAGAATTCTGAACCGGTCGGGTGGAGTTGTATATATTTTGCATATAATTCATATTGATTTAACTAGATGGTTCGAAAAAGATTTGCTAGAGAGAAATAGAAGGCTTTAGAAGCCAAATTTATGTGAATTATGTATTTTGCAATGAATGAGAAGCAATGTGTTGGTGCGAGAAATTTCTGATTGGAATGGCGGAACTTATGAATATTTTTCATAGATTAGAAATCGATTAGATTAGAAAACCAAAAATTAATTCTCAGATGACAAAAATGAGTTATCAAATTCAATTTATTAATAAGTTACAGGTTGCCTCGTATTCCATGTTAGCAATGATTAAAGACTGCAATTTTTTCCAATAAAGACAGAACTTTCCAAAAAGATCTAAATCAAATTAAGCACCAAAGAGATAAATTCGCTTGGATATTACTCAGTAGAAGGGAAGATAATCATACTCAATTAAAAATAAATGATCTTTAATCAAAAAGATGAGCACAAAACATTGAACTCGCTCACATATAGTCTTAGATAACTGAAGTTCAAAAGATCAAAAGGCTAGTTGCATCTGAAACACAGTATTTAAGAGATATTGTAGTAACAATCATAAAGCATGGCCTTATTCGAATTAAAAAAAATCCTTGAAACTTTGCAAAAAACTAAGGTTATTTTCGAATTAAACTCGAATAATTTTCATATGTAGATTAAAGTTCCAGCACATCCTGTTAAAGTGAGTGTAGTGCTGGCAAAAGAAAGTTATTTTCTGTGAAAGAATAAATTAGTCTCAGTTAAAAGTTTGTCGTTGGGCAAACTAAAGTTTTCCTTCATCCCTCTTACAAACTGCCATTTCGTTGTTTTCCTTGCGAATTGCCGCTTGCCAATTCAGCTTGCTTAGCTTTTGTTGGCAAATTCGTGCAGCTATTTAATATATTCATTCGTTTAAGGCCTCTTCTGCCGAATGTTTTCTTTAACTTCAGTGCATTGCAATGCAAGTGAGTAGTTAAACTGAAGCTATTCATTATTTAAGCTGTTCACACAAAGATGAATCGCAATAAACTTCAATTATAGAAGTGTTTTGTTAATTTTGAAAATTATTTCATCGTCGACCATCTTTTTCTCAGTGAATTACTGACCTACACGTATCCTCCACGCAGTTTTTCTTTATTTTGCTTAATCTAACGAAGCAGATTGTCGAATCTAAATTCCATCTTTCAATTGTAGAGGGAATATATTCGCCAAGTGTATCACATATCCATAAAAACATTAAAATTAATGTCCCATTTCGAAATTATCGTTCTTTGCTTCCAAATTTTCTCGATTCGTCTGAGGAAATACTTCAAAAGAAAGGGTCACTTCAAAATTGTCTCACTTGATTTTCTTTTTGTTTAAATACACATGTCTTCTCTAACAAAAAACATTTTTTATTGAAGGACCACATATCCATAAATTAATGATGGAGAAATGAAAGAAGAAATAATATCAAATTTAAATAAAAATTGTTAAAAAGAACAATCATTCTTAAAACATTTGAAACTAAACTAAAAGTTTCAACGAATCAATATATCGAATAGAAAGAGATCCAAATATTTGATCCAGGAGCAACAAAATTACCGATAATAAACTTCGATAGTGTGATGTATATTTAGTAACAATGGAGGCATTAAGATTGCTAACCTTCTGTTGCAATTCTTCCTCACTCCTTTAAATTTTCAGGATATTTTGCAATAGATTTTTGATTCTGGAATTTTATCTTGCTATAATTTTTTTAACGAAAGCCGATAGCAAAGAATGGATTCCATATCAAAAGATTGAAAAAGTGACAAAGTAATATGGAACTAAAAAAGGTATCTCTTAATTACAATAAAAACTTTTTGGAATTGAAGTGTTAGAAAAAGATATTTAAGAACTGTAGGATGAAAATTTGCATTTCTTGTAGTGGTGGTATGGTAAAGAAGTTATTCTCGATTCAGCCGCATTTAAATTATAAAACACTTAGCTAATGAAATACAAATATTAAAATTTTTCAGTTTTGCTCATAAATCGGACATATATTAAAATACAAATATTAAAATTTTCAACTTATAAATGATTGACACTACGAAAATAACTGCTCAGTACCGTTACTTTAAAAAAAAATACAATCAGTGGTTCTAACTCAGCAGTACGGCCAACAATAAAAAATTGAATATATTAATTGCAATGAGACTTTCAAGTAGTGCTAGGAAAGTGATTGTTAAGCTTGAAAAAATACCTCACTAATCTTTGAAGTTCTTTAGGAAATCCTGCTTCACTCCTTTTCTTTCTCTTTTCTACCTTTTGTATTTTTTGTTTCAGTTTTAATTCCAACATTTACACTGTTCTGATTCTCATAATCATTGTAAGACAGTGTGTCGATTCCTTAGAAAAAAATTCAAACCATCATGGTGCCGTTCTTGCAACAGGTATTCTACAGTGCAGCCGTGCAGGAATTTCGTTATACAATCCTATGACGTTAATTATAAAATCATGTTTTGTGATAAACCTATGAATCAGATTGCCATATTTCCGATTTGTCTGATCTTGAATGATTAACAATTACATAGTTTAGATGGATTTTATCACTCGAATTTTTCTACTTCTGCCGACATATCTTATGACAGAAGCGAAAGATTAATCAAACAAAAAGCGAATAGTGAACAGAGACCATAAATGTTACGGGTACATCCGAAAACAAATGCTCAGGTAGCTAGGATCGATTCCCCCTCCCCGTCCCCCTAATTTACAATACCATGTTTAATTTGTGTGCACGACGCTACTGGTTATATCGGAAAACAGATAAACCTATGAATAATGATTAAAAGATATCAGGACAAAAAAAAAAAAAAAAAAAAAAAAACTACAAAAGACTGTTTTCAATCTTCGAAAAAATAGTGCGGTAATCTTGCAAGTGCAAATGCTCACAGTGAGAACAAATACCACTCCATAACTGATAAATAATGTGATATATGATAAATCAGGTCAATTGAAAGCACCACAACAAGATGACAATGATAAGGATCGGATATGGAATAGGAGGTGGAACATGAATTCCTGCATAGGTGAGCTTTTTTTGCATCGTAATAGATTTCACAACATTTGCCTCATATTTCACGTAGGACTGCATTAATGAGGCGTATTTAAGTCAGAATGCTCATCATACGGTAGTTAAGCAACGATACATTTGCTTCATCCAAAAGCATGTAAATGCATTTGTATTGATGAAATGTAAAAGACGTGGTACAGAAGAGCGGAAATAAGTAATCAGTGAAACCTCTTCCTTTCATTATGGTCGAAGTATGCAATCAGTAATTCTACACTGATTCATCATGAACACTCCAATTTGGCCAGTATGGATTAACATAATCAAAATCAGGGAATTCATAGCCTTCAAGGTTACGCAAAATGTCAACATCACAAGCACTCATTTTCACTGATAACTTTCTGAACTGCGAATCGAAATTCTCCGTCGATTCAGGGCTTTTCTGCAAATTCAATCTTATTATGACATCATTAAAGTCGTTTTTAAAGTAATATGCAAATTGTGATGAAGCAACTCATGGTTAACATCTGTTGATTTTATGTGTCAGCTAATTAGTTTCTGAATGATACTACTGTTTGTAACTATTATCAAAAAACTCGAACCAGTGTTGTATATAGCAAACAAAGCCTCATTGTACACAAATATTTAAACTTGAACTATGAGTTGGCAACCACGGATTTATATCTTAAACGTTGAAATTTTCTCAGTTTTATATAGCTTAATAAAATTTCAAAAAATCAACATGAATCCATGATGAGAAAGAGCTGATCAAAATTATTTCATTGTATTTCGAAATGTTGCTACAAACAATGTGATAGCAATTTGAACTAGCAGATTACTTACCAATTTTGGTTTAAAAGGTGGTTGAACTTGCCGCCTTTCAATCTTATACCAGTCAATTCGTTTAAAGAATGGATGTTCCTGAAAATGGAGTTTTCATAACGATGGAACGCTTCATTATCGTTGACAACATGAAAAGTTAATCGTCATCCAAATGGTATTGAAAATAAAGCCAATAAATTGTAAGATGGGATTTATAAAAAGAAAAAAAAAATGACATTTTTGTCTTTCCAGAAATATGTGGAAAAAATGTTTTGTGACTAGCACTAATATTTTAGAGAGAAGAAGAGATCAGTATCGATCATTCATCACAGCACTGAATATTTTCAAGATATAACAAAGCCTTTCTGACGATATTTTTAAGAAAAATAAATTTTTGAAACGAATTACAAACTTTAATTTCTCTAACGGCCAACTGACCACAACCTAGGCGTTTCTCAGGACTTTTCTGTAGCAACGCCTTACAAATAGAAACTGCTTCTTTGGACATTGACTTCGGGTATGATATGCTGTGATCTGTTATTGCTGCAAACATAATTTCGAGACAACAACAGACTTTAAATATCTCCAAAATAAACATTACTAATAGTCGCAGTCATCCCTTGCCGTAACTAACCGGTCTCTCAGTACATCTAATAAATTAATTATGAATCTTACTGAGCTATAACTAATTTAGCTCGAATATACTTTTTGCTACTTCGTATTTTTTAAACAGTTCTATTAAATTTGATACCTGCGAATAATTCATCTTCGTCTTCACCATCGAAAGGCGGCTGGCCAGCAAGCATTTCAAACAGCAATACTCCATAGGCCCACCAGTCAACTGACTTATTATATGGTTGATACAATATTATCTGAAAGGATGCTGCATGTAAGAATTTAATGAACTGTGATCACAATAAGCAAATCGAAGATCACATTTCAGAACACAGTATTTATACACCGGAAGTTAGCTACGTGTCTCACAGTCATCCCTATTAGCGATGTTGAAATGATACATACTTCCGGAGCAATGTAATCGGGTGTACCGCAAAACGTTTTTGTCTTTGCATTACCGATGATGTTTTCTTTGCACATACCAAAATCCGTGATTTTAATATGCCCGTTTGTATCCAACATAACATTGTCCAGTTTGAGATCACGATAAATAATGCCTTTGGAATGAAGAAAGAACAAACCAATTGCTATTTCAGTAGCATAAAATCTGCAATAACAAACTTATGGTCATCAAACATGCTTCAAATGTTTATCGAAATTGGACCGCTAGAGCTGGAAAACTGATAATTTTATATTGACTATGTCAAGCACTCAAGCTGATTGAAGCTTTGATTTAGACATAATTTAATCTAAACAGAGATTATTACTACTCACGCAGCTACTGGTTCTTTGAACTTTCCCACTTGTTGTATTTGATACATAAGATCACCACCACTCACGAATTCCATTACAAAATATAAACGATCCTGAAATAAGCTTTTTCTGTACAAATTATGTTTCGAAATTTAGCACTTTATGATTTAGAATAAGATGCAGTTGCAACTTTAAGCAGTTTGCAATTTAATGGCAAGAAAGCGTGAGAATGATGAACTGATTATAGTGAAAAAAACTACTGAAAACAGTTTAAAATGAACAACATGCATTTCAAATAAACAAATCAGATGTCGTTTGCAAAGATAACTGCCAATCAACTACTTAGCTAGAAAAGGACGAAACTTTCACCGAAGTTTGGAAGCATGAATAGAGAGTAACAAGAAAGGGTGGCTTGTCACAAAGAGACAACACCCGCTTTTCAGTCATCGCACATTCCATATCGTCGTCTTGAACAATAACATCCTTTTTCAGTATTTTCACTGCGAACAGCTCCTTGCTATCCTTATGCTCACCAAGTAATACCTAAAAAGATAAAAGAAACGGAAACATGTAGTTTGCTTTTGAATAGTTTTAAAAGTTGAAAAGAGTAACCTTTCCAAAAGAACCTTTTCCAAGCACAGATAGAAAGTTAAAATCAGTAGATTTGATGGTGTTTTGTTGTTTCAGCTCAGACTGAAGTCGTATTGGTGATTGCTGCAAGATAGGTTGTAAATTTACTAAAGGCTTAACAATATAGAGACTAAACGCAAGCGACACTTTCACAAACACAAGTTCTCGCTCATTTTCCTCTCATTTGCCATTGCGAATTAACCGGTAACTCAGTTTGACGATAGAAATCAAGAAGGGATCAAATTACGCTTCCTAAATCATTGTTGTTTCCAAATTCCATTGTTTTTGATTTTTGCAGGGGAATTAAATTCCAGCTTGTTTTTCATTTTTTTTTTTTTTTTTTTAAATCACCAGCATCAACATGTATTTTTCAGAATTCTAAACAACTTAAAATTTCTTTACTAAAAACTTTAAACATATTCGTTTCAGTCTCAAAGGAATTGGTTTGAAAGTACACAAAGTTACATTCCGATTTCACCTTTTTCTGTCGTATCTCCATTTCATCAATTTTACTCCTGATTTTCTCAATTTCGGCTTCAGATTCAGGACTGACTTTTACGCTATAGAATTCCCCTTCCTCCTAAAATCTCGTTACATTGTTAAATTTAAACTGAATAAGTTCATCTAAAGTCTATCTAATAGAAGATAAAGCAAAGAATAACAGATGAAAAAGCAGTCAGTCAGAAAAACTCACTGCGCTAAGTAGTTTGTACCAACCCTCAACAGATTCCTTCATCAACTCACTGATGCCAAATGAAAGAGAACCCATAAAATCGTTCCTAGAAGTACGATCCCAATCCCAAACTTCGACAGATAGCCTTTTACCAGCATCTGCTGCTTCCAATTTGCTAAAATTTAATTCAAAAAATAAAAAAAAAAATAAGACTTGAATATCTAAGTGCATATGGATAGTTTAGACTAAGCCATATGGAATCAAAACTTATTGGTAAGCAATAAATGAATTTTCTTTTGATTTATAAGTATAAACAGATGATTTAGGAACAAATAAAGATACTTACTATTCAAAACATTCATTCCACACAGGATTCAAGGTGGATCTGATTGTTTTACTTTTCTTCTTAGATTTTGAAGAATGATCATCTGGTATCAATTTCAACTTGCAGTAAGGATCGGAAAGGCCATTTGGATCCATAGGTATTAAATTACGTGCCTCAGTCACTGAAAATAGGCACAGACGATTGAAAACACCCTGTCTTACTTCATCAGCGAATAGGGAACCAACCCTCTGTATGCAGCCTCCTAGTTTAGTTTTCAATAATATTTGTGCTTACTATTAATTTAACCACAATAAGAATTTATGAACAGTGCTTTAGTTCATAATCAGATATGGAGCTCTCACTGAATGTTTTGAGCCATATAGCAACAGGAGATGATATTATTAAAAGTGCTTAAATGCCTAACAAGGGACGGGCACGTGTACTGGGTAGAAGTTTTCGCCTATTTTTCGAAAGAAGCAATAACAAAAGTAATTCAAATAACAAAAGAAAATTGAGGAAGCCTTCAAACCTACGGAATATCACCTGTAAGCAGTAGTATTACTTTCTGTCATTAAATTAAAACCAGAATGCAATCATACTTACTGCTTTCACAATGTCTCCGACATCTAATGAGATATACTTCTTTTTATCTTCTACTCATTTTTTTTTTCTTTAAATATGTCATTTTATTTTTTTAAATACTAGTGATTCATTATAAGGATTTAAACTCAAAACTCATTCAGAGGAGATAATCAAACTCATTACGAACCTACAAAGAATTAATGTTTTGAAAGTCATACATGCTATCATTCCGCCATCTGTTATGCTACACTGTTAACTAGTTAACACTAATTGATTCTGACTATTGTAATATTTAAGATTGGAAAATAGTTTAAGATTTGTTTCTACTGAAATAGTGAACAGCTAATCACACCTTTAACTTGCAGAAGATCATTGTCCACTCGAATTGAAAGATGTATCCTACCGCGTCTTTCGATGTAATCTGTTCCGCACATATCAGGCACATATTTAACACATTTATGATGCACGTTGACATCACAACACTCACATTTTTTACCCTAAAAATGGTGTAGAATTGTTTACACTTTTTCACCATTACTGATTAAAAATCAAAACAAAATTATTAAGCTGACAACCTGATGAATGATACCATAAAGTAAAGATCCACAATGATCACAAAATGTTGGCGACGAATATGAGTGCACTTTCCATTTATGTTGTTGTCGTGGATCCTAAAAAATGTAGAACTGATTGTATCAAAAATACTTTTTCAGTCCAGCACCTTTAGATCATTGCACAAATTTTGACCCAAAAAATTCATCCTTGAGAATGAAGCCTCGAGAAGAACATAATGGAATTCGAGATATAAATGCAAGTTTTTTTTCCTAGCATTCGCCAAGAACTATAAGTGTGTACCAAACGAAAACATGTCATATGAAAAGTATGGAACTAACATCAGTATCAACGCCTTTGTCAGCACCAGGACATTGAAAATTGACAAACTGATGACATCTTTTATGTACTACAAGTGCGCATACTGTAATTATTTAATTTAGATGTAATTTCAAAGCAAATTAATCCCAAAATGTCAATTTGGGGTAGAGAAATATTAAGAGATTTTAAGTTGATAGTTTATGAGTTAAGATTTTAGGAAGACACTGGAAAGGAGAAAGAATAATGACTTACCCTGACACTGAAAGCCCTGCTTATTAAGACCCCAAAGAAATTCCTTGCAATGTGAACAAAACGTTGGTTGTTTGAAAAATCGTGCAATAAATTTATGCGCTCTGAAGACTTACTTTAATTGTTCAACTTTTTCGAATACCATCATTTTTCATGTAAAGTATTGTGTAATGAAAGGAATAAATGGCCTTAATTATTCTTAATTAATTAAAGCCGTGTGCTTGAAAAAAGAGAAACAAAATCATACTTGACTTCATGAACATTCTTTTGCCTTAATGCACCTTTTCGAACGATGCCTTTACCTTCAATCCGTTGCACTGAAATAAATTTCTTTTTGTGTTTATTTTAAAGAGCCAAATGTCAGCTTTCAAAATATGACCGCTTCTTGATATTGCAGAAAACTGCAACTTTAATAAACCAATTTGTTATAAATCAATTATTTAACATCTGCTATGAAATTGCTGTAGAGTTCAGCTATCAAAGCACAGCTTATCACAAAGTTGATTTGAAAGATTGCTTCAAAGATTTCTGTAAAAGCGAGTAATTTTAATAAGTTGAAGTGCCTCACACGAACTGAAAGTTCCCGTATGCTCTGAAGTAATTTCCAAGGAATTAAAAATTCCCTGGAAATTATAGGAGCTATCCCTGATTAGTTTTGCATCTTTCAGGTCATTCCACAGAATAACCAATTCTTTTTTTTTTTATTATAATGAAAATATTCATAATGCAGTTCCTTTCAAGCTTCAATTCAATTAGTACCAATACTTCCTCATATCACTAATTTTGAGTAATTAAAGTACATTTAAATTGACGATGATTTCACCGCAATTTGTTTGAACTGCTTCACAATTAACATTCAATTTTACCAAGAATTGCACTGCTGAAAAAATCAGCTTTAAAAACATTGCAAGATATCGGTATTATAAAGCATTTCTGAGAGAACACATTGAAAAGATAGCCGAAGAAAATGTTCTAAAATATGTTGGTACACTGAATGGAAAGATGAATTTTGAGACACTTCTTTGGCAAATAAAAATGTCGTAAACAAATTAGAAGCCAATAATCTGCATAAAACATAACAATTCAGTTAATAGGACAATCAATGATAAAAAGCGCAGCTAATCAAGTCACAAATGCCAAATGGAGAAAGTGACACAAGTAGAATCCAAAAAAGATTTCCATGCAGTTTTCAGCGAATGGCAACAATTCTCACATTTTCTCAGGGCTTTACGGGTTGATAAAAATTTTAGGTAAGCTTGAGATTTCTTCCGTAGTGCATCCCCAACTCGACGACAACTGGATGGCATTCTTGATTTTCCGCCATGTTCTGCACCATCATGTCGACTGTCCTCATTGTAGTCGCTATGTGCATCTAGATTTGCTCCAGAATTAGGCTTTTCAAACTTCTGGTACATCAGGTCGGTACTATTGGAAAAAGTAACCGGTAAAATGATCGCATCCAACGAATCAAAGAACTTTGATGATAATCGGTTACATAAACAGCAGGTTTCTGGATGACAGGATGATGATCCTGAGCTGTTGTTGCCGCACAGCGAATTATGCAGCAAAATCTCGTCAAAAACAGAAAAGAAGTCATTTGCAGCTAGAATGTCGGAACAGGATATGGATGTACGTTTCTTTTTTCGATCTTCCTGATCCTGCGATTGTTCATTATCAATGATCAGATAATTGAAATTGGTTCGCCATTCTTCATCCATTTTTGAATAGTCTATCAGCATTAGGTGTTTTAAAATGCGAACTAACGATTATAGCTATTGATGCATTGGATGATAACACTGTGACTCGCTGAATTAGAATTAGTAATAGATCGGAGGAGAAATCTTCATATATCGAACATACAAATTTGCAATGAATAAATGAAAACTGTATGTTTTGCTCTTCTGAAACGATGAATGCAATTTTTGTCGAAAAGAAATTTTTTTGCTCTGCTTTTCCTTAACATAACAACTCAATGATTCAGCAGTGACCCGTGCACCAACCACGCCATCATGCAACTTTGCCTTGCAACACCATCTCGAGTTATCTATACCTTTCACGAAAGTCTATTCTAACCATTTTGTGCTGACTTATTTCACAGCAAAAAATTCTCAAAAATCAAAACGACCATATATTGATTGAGTAGCAGTAAGCAAGCGAGCATTGGTACATTAGTTTTACTATATGTGTCTATTCATCATGTTCCTATTGTGTCATTTCAATAGGGAAGCACATGTTTCAATACTAGTTTTAGAGGAAATAATTTGCATATGTTATGCGTTACCTCTTATCACCATTTTGAGTTGGTGAAACTTTCAGTTGTATAAGGCTCTTCTAAGTAATTTCTGAATTCATAGGAAAACAATGGCGCAACTTTGCTTATTACATTGTCTAAATATCTCTAAATATAAAAGCCACTTTCTAGGAAAAGGATTTAGGTTCTGCCTCCCAAGAGAAACTGGCAGGTTGGAGGCTATACTCTTTGAAGAATACGAAGAAAACTGATGTGAATAGATTTCTTAAAAATTCCTCAATAATATGCAAATACAATCTTACTTGAAGAACTAAAATCCAAGTCAGTTGAAATGGAATTCAAGTATGACTTTCAATAGGTGTTTACTGGTCAAACTCCAAGAATTATGTTACTATTAGATTTTTCAAAGTATTATACACTTTAATATTCCAAGTATTACATAACAAGTGGAATAGTCAGATTACTTCATATTCGTTAGATATAAAAACATAATCCTTTCTTTTGAAACATTTTCAAGATTATAAATAATTGAAGCATATCAGAGAGAAATGGACATACCAAAAGCTTCGGAAAGTTTCCTGAGTAATTTGGATGATTCCAGCACTGGGTCGGCTCCAATGGAATGACTTTGAAAATCAGTTCGTCCCATTTTATTAACATTAAGCACTGCTTGGTCAAAATTATGAGTTTGGAGGCTATACTTTTCAGTATTCAAGGTATAAGTACAATCACCGCAATTTGTATCACCGTCAGCTTCCGGAGTGTTAATTGGTTCCACATCATTAGTTGATGACTGATCAACATTAATCGGAACAGCAGATTTCATTGACATATCGATGATGATTTCACATAATATTCTTTAATATCTGCTGACGAAAAACCGTTTATACGTCTGCTGGAATAGAAAAAATATTTGTAGTTAACATAATCAGAATATGCAAATAAAATAGGTAATTGCGTATCAAAAAAAAAAAAAAAAAAAGGGAAAAACAGAAAGGATCCGATTTGCACATAGCTTATATACTCGTATAAAAAGGGATGAAATGGGGGAAATGGTTTAACTTAAAATTCTGAAAATGATGAATGGTTTAATAAAGTAAGTATGTAAACAAATCATAATCCCTAACTCGAATAATAAATACAATTAACATTTCCATTTCGCAGTTGATTATAAAAACTCTTCAGAATCAGTTCCGTATATTTCACCAAATAGAGTAAAAAACTGAAATTGCAATATCTAGAAGTCGGTTTACTTTATCCAAGATTTAGATTGATATTTCATTAACAAAAGAAAAGCGAAAATTTTGAAAAAATCGAAGTTTTTACAAAATGCTTCACATTTATGAAATTAAAACCACAAATTACATGAATCAATACTTTAAAAAAGAAATTTCCCAAGATGCAGTTTTCCATTTATTCCCATATTTTTAAAAAACCTACTTTATTCACCCTTTTTATTACATTCAAACTTCCCTCAATAAAGTGCCACTTTACTACAAAAATTAGAAAAGTATAAATGATAATTTTTTTCTTTGTTTTCTGAGAAAATATGACTTTTGTGGTGGAAAAAAAGTGTGATTTACCAAAAAGAACATGAAATGACAAGAGCGAAACTCTAATAAATGAAAGAGCTGAAGGATCAAAAATGTTGAAGAAATGTTCATTGAAGCGAAAAGGATGATTCACCGGAAATGTTAACTCGTAGAGCTTTAAATTAAATTCCATCTGCGACTAAAAACAAGGATTAAAAAAAAAAGCTGCCAAGCATAAGTTACAGAACAACATGCTTATTAGGTTCATTTTACTTTAGTATTATATTAAGATCCAGTAGAACAATCCTTTAAAACGAACACTCTGCCATCTCAGATTTGCGTTTCTCTTTTATTAGTCTAATTTGGAATTTCTTTGTGCTCACAAAAAAAAGCACATGATGGTTGAAATCTTTCAAGAACTGCGAGCAATATTAATTTGTTGGTTAATAGAAAAAAGATAATAATTAATCCACAATATGACTGATTGATAAATGACCTATGTGGATGAATGCATTAGATCCTTGCTATCCGGACGGATTCTATACATTTTGGCGTGCAGGAAAAGGCATGATGTTGCTAAATGTTCCTGAAGCATGCGATTTTCTAGCAGGAGAATTACTCATTGCTTTTCCTTACACAGGCTCCATCACTAAAAACTTGGAGGAATAAAATTAAGTTATCAATACTTCGGCGTTAATAGTTATGAGATTAGAATTAAGCTTAGTGTAAACAAGTCTGCTATTGAATGCTTAGGTGTTACCTCTTACCTCTTAGACATTATATAAAAGTTATCCTATATGAACCTAAAAAGATAAAACAGCAGTGGAAAACGGATTGTTGAGCATTTTCATCTAATTTGCTGTAAATTTACGAAAATCCATGTTTGTCCTTCTTCTCTTCCTTATTACTTTAAGCTACCTTTGCAAATCGGTAGCAAAGGAGACTGATATTTCTATCTGAAAGCAAAATCTCAGTTTTCGTGCTTATGCCGTCACTTAAACTGCCAAGCATTTCCAAAGTTATTTTCAGTTATGTTTCTGACGCTTGTGAAGCAGTCATAGAAACTTCTATACATAATCCATCCAAGCATTAGTGAAAATTTTGTAATAAATTATGTAATAAATAAATTCTTAATAGATATGTACTAAAGGCGAACACCAAAGGAAGTATGTCCCTTTTTTAAAAAGAAAGATCAAGAATGATTGTTTGTTTGATTGGTGGTTAAAAAAGTACATTAGCATAAATTCCCAAAGAAATGATGGTAAAATTTAGTAATTGAAACTGGTACGAACTTGGCAGGATGATATTTTTCTTTGACAAATTAGCATGAGTATTGGCCCACCTTTTACGGACACAGAAAGTATTCGATAATGTGGCAGAAAACACTTTGATCACAGTCTGTGTCAACTGGTTACATTTTTTTTCGCCGACTCATAAAAATGCTATGATTTAACGATTAATTTTTTAACTTTAACAATCTTCCCAGTGTTGTTTCTATTCTGCTGCTTTCTACTGCTACCTGTAGTACTGGTGCTGACTGCTACACGGTAATTGCGTTTTACACCTTATTATATCACTTTTATCTCGTATTCATTTGTAAAAGTGCGATATTATCAAATAAACAGCACCGTCTGATCGATTTTCCTGTGTTACTGAATATGAATTGATAAAATGAAACATCTTATATTCAATAATTAGTAAATTTCTGAAAACCGTGAATCAATAATTGTTTCCTTCTCAGAATTAGTTTCATGCTTTCTATTTTTAAACTCGCTGAGACAAATTCTCAAAATATATTGTCAAAATAAAATATTTAATTATTTGAATAAATTTTCAAAATGATAGCTTATGCAAAATGTTTGATGCCTTAAAACCATAAAAGCAGTCTCGGCTACAATTTATCATCAAATGCCTAACAGTTAACTGAAGAAGAGGAACAGATGATTATTTTATTAATAATTTGTTTGTTCAGCTTTTCGTCGGGTTAGAATCAACAAAAAGACATACACTGAAAATTTCTACTCTCACCTTTGATAGAGGATATATAACTATTCGGATAAACTGTAAAGTTTTATAAAGTATAAACTGTTTTTTAAGCAATCTTATGCTTGGTGGCGGTGGTGGTGTGTGTATGTGCCAGAGACAGTCTAATTAATGATATTACTGCACTATCACTATTATATTGCTAAACCATGTTTACAAATTTTCAACCTTAAATGACTTTCCCGATCGCTGCATAACAAAGAGTTTTAAGGAGAACAGAGAATTGTTGCGAAAAGTAAAATTTTGATAGACAAAACCGGGTTTAATTCCTTGAAAGAGAATCTGACGGAGAAGGGAATCAGGTAAAGATAACCAGTTATGTTATGTTGTTTCATGGAGCAAAATTCTCAATGCAGAGGTTATAGGCCAGACACTATCTCAATTTCAACCACTCTGGAAGATTAAATTGAAAAATACATGACTGAAAATATATGATTGAACATATAATTAGAAGGCAGAGAAATATGTGCTCATATATGATTTATTAATGCATTTTCAGAAGAGATTCAGTCTGTAAAGCTCATTACCGAGCTGCTGCTCCTATGTCAATAACAGAACGGTTTATTAGAAAGGCTCGTATTTTTTGTATGTAATTTTTTTATTATTTAGAAAAAAATATATAACACAGAATGATTTAGCTGATACTATTTCGCTGCGAAAATAAGGATTGTTAGTTAATCCAAACTAAATCAACTCTGTGTTCGTATTGCTGTAAAAAAGACATTTGATAACTTAGGTAATTAATAGTTCAGAACCGCAAAAAATGGAAGAACTACCGCAGATTGAAGCAAACAACTGTAAAACAAATTAAACCTAAAAGTTGTCCTATGGATTGAAAAGTTTGTTAGTGTAGCGGAATGATAATACTTAGTAGGTAATGCAGCCAAAGGGAAAAATGAAAAAAGTAGGAGGAAAATGGACTGTAAAATTGGAAAGAGCTATTTTGAATAGTGATTTTGAACAGCAATTTGATGAGTTTGCCACGTTTTCACTAATATTAGTTTCAGCGTTCAATAAAGTATAATTTTAGTCACAGTGCTCAGTGCTTCCTTTAATGAATTTTATGATTAACACAGTTTATTAAAACTCACTTTGCTTGAGACTACATTGACTTCCATTTTGATTATTCGCTTGGTAAAATCCTAATCATGACTACTACACACTTTGTATTTTGAGATAAATTTTGTACAATTTTTTTTTTTTGTGTAAATAATATTTTTATAATATTTTGTATAAATTTTGTAACAAGTAAATTTTGTAATAAATTTTGATACTATTGGTCTTGAGAAAAATATTCTCTGCGATCACAGATATTTGCCCTCTTAAATTTTTAACCAGCAGTAATATCTGACAGGTAAGGAAAATTTACATTGACGAAAATTTTCCTTTATCAATGTTTCCTCGAATTAATACTTAAGTGAGATATTAAATACTCTGCCTTCGGTCAGGTTCAATATATTACTAAAGATTAGATGATAAGTTTTAACAGACAAATAAAGAGGATCGATAAAATTACTAAAATCCTTCTTGAATTTACATTTTTTTAAATATGTTTTTGTTTAAATGCTTGCCATTAATGCAAATTCTTGAAAAAAAAAAACATGAACAACGGTTATTTTCTGCAAATAAGCATTAGAAAAGCTTATGAAGAGGTTATCTCATTTATTTTGTGAAAAAATGTAAATTCAAGAGAAAGTATGACTAAATTTCTTTACAGATATAGTAATGTTTATGCTTATTCATGCGAACCATTGAACCTTTATTAAGTTCGCATGTATCCTGGATGATGCAGCAAGCCTCCTTACATGACAAACTTATGCTGACGATGTTCAACTTCCCTAGGCAAAGATAACGATGCTAACTGCTAAAGGTGTCAGTGCCACAGTTACTCATTCTCGCAAACATTCAAAAATGTATTCCAACTATGCAAAAAGTGTCACACACCAATTTAATATAGAGATGAAGTTGAAAAGTTCAGTAATCAAACATATAAGTCTTTAAGGGCGGACATATCAAAAACAAATGAACCAATGAGGTCAGAAATCTTGGCTTTGATAAAAATTTTTGCTGACATTTTAAGGTGTTGTACACAAATGTTTTGAAATGATGGTTATTTGTATTTTCTAAGTCTTATTTCTTCAAGTAGAGCTACCTATTGCTTTGCTTCCCAAATTATTTCCTTTTAGGGAAACAGCTGCTTACAGCGATTAAAAGCCTTATCAATGATTAATTATCAATAGAGTAGGATAATATCGAG